AAGAAAGAAAGAAAGAAAGAAAGAAAGAAAGAAAGAAAGAAAGAAAGCAAGCAGTGCTGGAAAGGCAGTGTGGGAGAACTTGGTTCTGCCAGCAACTTGGCTCTGGCTACTCTGGGTCTGGTAGTGCCATGCTTTCCTCACAGGGAATACAGCTGGCTCAGAAAACCTCCCCAGAAGAGTCAAGGAAACCACTTGTAAACAATTAAAACAAGTTTTCAGAATCCCTCCTTTCCCTACTTCCCCTGCACACACATCACCCTCCAAACCAGCGATTGTAACGTGCTAAGTAATCTAAGAGCTCAGATGGCATTTGGCACCACTGAAATTTTATCAGGTTGAACCTCAGGTAGAGATTACAGCAGGGCGTTTGAGGGCAAAAAGCTTCACCTACAGCAGATTCAGAAAATTTGGGGTTTGCAATAGCTGGAAAGTGAGAGATAGGGATACTTTGGTGCACGTTCCACTCTGATTGCAAAACAGGCATCTTGAAATAAGGAATCTGCTTAACAAAGATTACTGGAAACTTTTTGAACATAGAAAACAGTTGAGATACATGAAGAAATGAAACTAAATACCCCTGGGAAATGTGCTTCTCACTCTCACTTTTTATTTTTTCCAAAAATGGTTCCATTTCATAGAAATGTTTATGATTTTGTGGAGTGGGATGGAAGTGAGACTGTTCTTCCTTGGCAATTTGCAACCATGTTTTATTCTCAGCAACTCTAATTACAATCAGCTGAGTTTGGGTTTGAGTTTACTCAAACATACAGCCGCATCTTTAATGACATTTGCCAGTTTTCCAGTACTGCAATACACAAATTCCTTCAAACGTTAAAATTTGCATTAAACACAGGCACAGTTTGAATTAGATGTTTCTGAGAGGGGAAAAAAAAAAAAAAAGGGGTTTCACACACACAGAGAAACATCTAACAAATCTAAGTTTTATGATGCTTGCAGAACTATTGAGAAATAATGCTACTAGCACACTAAGCACAATGCTTTGACCACTAACAACAATTTTTGTATTACAAAAGTTACAATCCAAAATACAGTGGGAAGAATGTTCTGAGCAGTATTTGCATTACGTGCAGGTAATGCCCACAATTGCAAAGCAACCTTGTATCTGTAAAATTGCAGGAAACATGAAATTTTGAAGACAGTCATCTCCAGAGTCCAGGGAATCCCAGCCAAACTGTTGTTGACCGTCAAGGGATATAGACTCCCCAATGACCTAGGCACTTTCAAAATATGCAAAAGGCCTTGAGATCTTCTGAATGGATCTTTTTATCTATGTAAAGACTCCCTGCACATAACTCTAGATGTCCAACCAGTCAGGCCAAGACATTTCACTTGCCTACCTGTTCCAGGTACCTAAAACCAGGCTGTGCCACATTGCCTTGCCCCATGTCTTGCTCTGTGGTCTGGATGGAATATCACTAAAACCAGTGGAATCACAGAAAGTAAGAATTGATGCCAAAGTGTGGAAGGGGCAGTTATATCTAGCTGAGCTGCTCACAGTAACATTCCTACCCATCTGCATTGGTAGATGTTACTTGAGCCCTGTTATCAGGTATCTAAAGGCTGCTGTACCATGTAACATGGGTGTCTCTTTGTCAATATTTGTCCCTAATAACTGGTAAAAAAAGAGAAAATGGGAGGGAGTTGTCCCATGAGAGTCAATACCAATGTCAAACTTTTTTGTAGGCTTGGTCCTCTGACAAGGCTCCCAGATGTCTGAGTCTCTCATCTGCAACACTGGTTATTTCAGCAACAGCCAAGAGCTGTATGCTTCAACAGGATGCCCAAGGAACAAGTCAGACTGCTGTCTATCAGTTACACAGTTATTTTGTTGGAGCTGTTTTCCTAGGATAAACGTACATCGCCTCAACATCACAGTGTCCATGGTTCACCAGGGTTGCATGCATGCGCAGCAAGGGGCATGGACTGCTCTCAGCCAGGGTGTTTTTCCTTCTCTCCCTGTCTCTGTCTCATTTTGTTTAATTTTTAAGCCCTGTTTGCTCACCTTGCTAGTCAAAACAGGTTTTTATTATTCTTTTCTAAGATGTGCAGGGCTAGTGCAAGTGGTTAAGAGAAGCAAGCTGTCCTCCTTCCCCAACATCAATACCCTCCTTGCCAACAATAATTATTCTACATGGGGAGTTTTTCTCTTATCTGCTGATGCATGTGAGGGGGGTGGTGGTGTTGGTGATGGGATATGCCGCCTCTTGATGTTTTGCGGATTTTCTTAAATGCCACGTTTTGATCTGTGAGATTAGGAAAAAGATTCTTTGCATTTGTCTGCAAATCTGCTGGCAGCTGACCCTTCAGCATGTGGCCTGTGTCTGGCACACACCTTGCAGCCTAATTTTTTTTGCACAGTAACTGCATTTTTTCTACACCCATACCAAGCTTGAACTCTCAGACGTATTTCTTCTCCACCACCAAGTGAAGTTTTAACTTCTTAGACAGAAATGGTTTTGCTTAGACTAGTCAAGTAAAAAGGACAGGAGCCCTCATACGGCTGCTCAGCAGAAAACATGCTCAGTAGCTCTGTCTATCTGCAATGTAACCTTGGAGTTGTGATTTGGAGCATTTAATGGAACCTTGGAGTTGTGATTTGGTGCATTTAATGGCTCCAGCCATTGCCCAGAAGTGCACAGAACACAAAAGATTAAGTAGCTGATGCTATTGGGAAGAAAGAGAGCTTGCTTTCCTTTCCCTTCTTCACTAGATATTTGTTTCCTTCCCTTAATCTGTGTGTTACCTCCCTCAGGTGACTCAGAGATTTCCTTCAAGATTAATACATCTCTAGCTTTGATGGGGAACTTGAAGAAACTCATGTAAAGGGCTTACAATCCAGCCTTACTTGGCCCAGACTGGAAACCTTTATTAATGAACTTGATTTTACAAAATTCTAGGGGTCTTGGAAACCAAATGCAGTTTCTAAACTACTTTGCGAATAGGACTCAATGGGGAATTCGGTCCCATTTACCAGCTCAGCAGAAAACAATCCCCGACCATTTTACTCTCTTACCACCCATGAAAATAATCAAGCGCCCTTATTCAACTTTACTCCCTCTTTCAAAAGGTTGACAGTCTCACCACTTCACCAACAGCACTGCCAGTTCAGCATTCCCCGTGGTAACAGGGTTGTCTCTTCAGAGACTAAGCAGGATGGCTAGATGCCTGATGGTACAGACTCTAAGTTTCTCCAGAGATCTGGAAGGTTTCTGGGATATATAACACCTCTTATTCTCTTTGGTATATGAACTCTGCTTCAGCAACATTTTCTGTCATGGTTATTAAGTTTCTCTCTTATAAGTTTTTCTTCAAGTGATCAATGATGGATTGAACGGGGAGGCTGCAGACAACATATAGAATAGTCTGTTTGCTTCACAGATGGCTGAAGCAAAACAGGAGTTTGTTGTGCTTATACTTCTGTAAGGGTTTTGGAACCTGAACAGAAATCAAAACTCAGCCCCACCATGGGGAGCTTTGTGTCTGGTTGGGCACAATCCTGAATGTTTATAACGCTGATGATAGTGGTGATAATGGTGAAGTTCATGCTGACGGGTGGGGACAATGACAAATGTTCACCTTTATATGTGAAATGCCAGCACTATTGCTTTCCCCATTTATGTTACATACTGCTTTCTCTGGATATCATCCTCACAGACTGGTGCCTCATTCAGACCTCACTGGTAGAAGGGACGGGGGTAGCAGGTGAACTCCTCTTTCTCCTGTTATTCATGAAGGGCTGTTGGGAAACCATTGGCTCATAATAAATGCCAGTTATGATTAACAGTCGGTTCCTGTTTCCTTGGTCTAACACTCAAACCAGGTAGCACCGGCAATTTCCTCTAGTAATTGCTGTCCCTTGGCAATTCTCTTTCCCTTCAGCACAATGTGCTTTGCTTTGATTTGGCTGCGGGGCAGAGATCCAAGGGAGAGTTTTATTTTGTCTCTGTTGGGGAGTGGGGGCACTGATTTCCTGCCTCTATCCTCTATCAAGAAAGGCCCCCCCAACCCTCTCCCCACTACATTTGGAAAGCAAATCTTGTTCATACCGTATCTGTAAGTAAACCCAAACTGATCCTTTTCTGGCTCTTGAATCTCTTCTCTGCTCTCTTAGTCCAAGGTTTGTGCATATAGGCTGGCTTACCCTTGGGTAAATACAGCAGCTTCATATTTTCTAGCTGCTCTCAAGAGCAAAGGTCAAGAAAGCAAGGTGGGAAAGGCATAATAACATGTTTCTCTCACCTCCTTCACCACTATCAGAACATTTTGCAAGCACTTGCCTGTTACACAATAAGCCACTGACATCCACTGTGTCTGGTTTTTGTTTCCCCTCCCTCACCCCAAGTTCTCTCAGCTCATTAAAATCTTCAACTCGCTGGGTCCTGAGAAGTTCCCCCTCGTGGAGCAAACGTTCTTTCCAAGCCATAAGCAGATGGTGAGTAACTTTGCTTTCTTCTGATGCCAGTATGGAGATGGAAGAAGCAACAAATGTGAGTTGGGCACAAAAGATGGTGGTGGGAATGATGGGAAGAGTCTCAATTTTACTTACAGAGAAACACAAGCTAAAAAAGTGATAAGCAAAAGGCACCGCTTGGGAATCTCCTTTTTTGCCCAGCCCTTCCCTAGGTCATGTATGGACCCCTAATGAAGTGAACAATGAGAACAGGCTCAAAACTAGACCAGAAATCCACTGTAAAACCTAGTCAACAAAAAGCTCATCCCTTAGTGCAAGGCATCACTCTATTCAGATGAAGCAATTTTTACCCACTCCTGGAATTGCTTAAAATATGCTGATGATTTGGGACATGGTTCATAAGAGGTGTTTATTTCACCATGTTAGTTTGCTTGGTCTACCACGTGGTTGCCATCCATGACACATTTATCAGCTTGAAGGTACTCAGAGTAACTTGGAGTTCTTGAAATGGTTTTTTTCAGCTTCTAATGTTTTCTTTGCACGGTGGCTCTGAGGTCTAGTCTTTCTATCAGCAACTAAACACTCAGTGCCCTGTGGGGCTGCTGGGCACTGTACCAAACTCTTAGGGCACCTTTCAAAGAGATCTGCGTAGGTGCCCTTAGTCCTAGAGAATATGGCAAAGAGAGGGGCTTTGTTTAAAACTGATTATGTCTCTTGTTTCCTCTGGTTAAAAGGAAGACTAGACCTTTGTGAATTTTTGCTCCCAACTTACATCCACAAGTTAGTGGATCTTGACACCTGGCTGCGACTCTGTATGAACCATGACCCCTTATGTGAGCCACTGGCTGGCTGAGCTAATTTCTGAGGCTTGATTGTGAACTGAAGCAGAATTAGCAGCCTGAAGATGAGGGTTGTTGAGATGTTAAACTAAGGTTCAGAAATATTAAACCCCCTCTTTTCTCACACACTTGTTGCAATACTGTGGGCCGACCACAATAAGCAACAGGGTGTAGGTACCTGATGGTGGACGTAGGCACCTGGTGGGAGCTTCAAAATTGCAAAGGGAATTTCATTTGGTTTCTTGTGAAAAATCCCACCGGTGCTCGTTAGGTACCCAAACATCTTGAAATGCCAGTCCTTCACCTCTCTGTTCCCAAAACTCTGTTCTCTACCTGTGCTGTGTTGACTACAGCACTTCTGTACTTCACAGGCACATCATGGAGGTAAGTACAGTCATGACTGTAATGCAGTGGTGAGAGTTGTATTATCATTTAAGACATAAAGAAATGGATGGCCCTTAAACAATATGTGACAGTTTGTTGCACACTTTTAAGATAAATTAGTTGATAATACCTGTTGAATTTAATTCCTCATGATTTATGAAGAAGGATTTGTGAGATATGTAATGCTTCAGGACAGTTGTGACTTCGTCTGACCATCGCTTCAGGAATGGTATTTTTGGAAGGCTTGATAAAGGTGGTCATTGCAAATAAGTTAGCTAGCATTTTTAGCAATATTTTCTTGTCTGGAAATTTGATTTTCATTTCCTCAGACATAAATGTATTTGGTACCATTTGGATAGTAGTTTTGTTTAGCAGAACACTGATCTTAATTTCACTTTTTTGTCATCTTTATAACCAATCACCTACTTGGAGATGCTATTACTTACTTATAAAAGAGTACAGGAAGTCTTTTAAACTTTAGATAATCTCATATGAACACAAACACTACTGCTGACATGCAAGCTTGAGTTTAAAACAGTCACTTTCCAACCATTTACAGAAGCAACAATCCACTTGGGCAAATTCAGTCCAGCCCTTTCCAGGTGGGGGGTCTGCCTCACAGAATGAGTCTAGACAACTTCTAAATATCTTTCTGGGTGCATCTTCACAGCATCCTGGGCTGTGAGAGCCTGAGTCAAGTGCTTACACCAAGCAACCTCCCTTGCAGTCACCACTCCACCAAATACCTGTGAAAAGTTGCTTCCCACTGTGCATCAGCTTCTCCATCTGTCTGATAGGAATGTAAAGATCCCCATTTCCTACTCTTTTTCTTCCCTTTCCTGGAGGTATTTTCAAGCTTTACCAGTTAGCACTCATAAAATACACTGTGGTCCTTTGATGGCTGACCCCCTGGAAGTGTTTATAACTAATGTTATGGTTTTACCTCTCTGCAATGTGATATACTTCAAGCACTTCAGGTCTCACGTAAGAGATCCTCATCCTTCTACATCCAAAATTTTCGCAAGCTTACCCTCTAAACCTTTGGATTAAACACAGAACAGATTCAAAAACCCGTTTCATTCTTTCATATATGTAAAGAATAGAGATTTTCCTACAGTAAAAGTGGGATAAAGGAAATTTCTCACAGTAAGCCCATTTTTGTGAGCATTTCAGTTTAGCTGAAAATGCTTTTTCTGAAGCTTCTTTCCCAAGACAACAGGACAATTTTAACCAGCCTTGAACAGTAAGCCTAAAGAGAGGACACAAGATTCTAACATTACACATCAAAAAAGATGAACCCCTCTTCCCTTTGTCATAGGCATGTACCTTTCAGGCCTCCCCCCAGTGATCAGTTTTCTGGAAACAAGAGCAACCAGGCAACTGTTCTTCCAAGGACCTACTGGTGCTAGAGCCAGCCCTAGTGACTGCCTTGCTCTGTACTGACCTCCTATGGCCAGTTAACAACTGGGAGTCATTAACTTCAAAAGGGATTTTTCACCCCTTCTGGGCTTATGACCACAGTAACAGTTCTTAGAGAGACCAACGTCTTAAAAAGAGGGAGGGACTCATGGAGGAATCTTTGCCAAAGTGCAAGAATTGCCAGAGGTGGAATATCTGCTCTGGGACCAATAAAACAGGATCAAAAAAGGGAAGGAAATTAATAAATCCATTTGCAAATCCATTTGTGTATATTTGAAGTGGACAGAAACTAATGTAAGTGAAGCAGAGACAGAATGTCTGTGATAGAAATAAAACCACTTTACTGTTTAGAATAAAAGGACACTATAAAAAGTGAACATTATGCAACATTACCTTAAAAGACAATATACATTCACTGAATATAAAATTTATAAATAACATGGAGGAAAACTGTAAACAGTGCTAGAAAATTTAGCAACAAATACATTCCTTCTGGACAAGATTTTTCACACGGGTTTGGTTCCTTCCCCAAGTTTCCATAACTATCAGGAACAGCAGAGTGGCTCTATGAAGGAAGGACAGTGCCAGAGGGAAGGAGAAGCCAGTACAAGCAAAGCAGCAGCAAATGTTCAGTGGATTTTCACGTTTTTTCTCAAGACCGGTAGCCCCAAAAGTCACTTATTCTAAAAACAGACAGAGAATTTTCGCAGTTCCCTAAATTTTGTTCTGCCCTTCTAAGCTAAAAAATACGTTCTGATTGAGCAGTACTTTCAGAGACATCTGGAAGAATGGAAACTTGTTCCCACGGAGGCCCTTACTTCAAATAGTCTTTACTGTAAAAAGCACAACAGTATGTTTCCCATCACTGAGAGGGAGCATTTCACTCTGACCAAGTATGAATGGGATACATTTAGTGATATATTTAGGTTTTAGAATAGTCCTACCTAAAGGGTCATTAACTCTTCAAAACATGGGAAATTTAGACCTAAAATGGCAGTTTTGTCCCATACAAGGGAGGGGGAAGCCTCCCACAGGAGGACTTTATCCAAGTTACTCCACGCACAGATCTCCTGCTCTCTCCCTGCTCCATTTTGGGAAAGGAAAATAGAATCCAATCTTTCTCAAACTTTCAATATATATTTTTGTAATTCTAAAGGGGAAAACACTGTCAAGGAAATAAGGAAAAATATTTATAAATAAGAAAGTGAACAGCAACAGTGTAGAAACGAGCTATGCATTTTAAAAAGTACTGTTAATAATGTTGGTGTACCTAAAGCATGGTGGCAGGGAGTGTGTGTGTAATCCTGTAATGTCCAAAGGTCGTGCTCACATGGGCTGTGCCATTGACAGTTCTCTGACCTTAGGGTACTGGCTGAAGTGAGGAGCATGCCAGAGGTGACAGGAAGGTATTGGTGCTACTGCAAGACATTGTATGCTCCACACACTGAGGCATACTCTTCACACCTGCCTTCTCCCATCTCCATGCCTGGTGTTCCCACATATCACAAGGCCTGCTGTAATGAGGGAGTGAGTTTTGTCCACTGGCAGGCAGAAGTGACTTAGTAAGACAGAAGAAAGGAGAGCAGATAGAAAGGAAGGAGTCTTTGAGTCTGATTTAGAGCCTCTTCAATCCATGTAATGGCTTCTTCCCACTTCAAGAGTGCCTTTAGTCAGGTTCTTAATGCAAGCAACAAGCTGAAGCTTAGCCCAAGAAATACATGTCCCTGATAGCATGCACAGAAACAAAATTAAGAAGCTTCCCAAAAGAAATGTATTTTCACTGGATTCTTCCCCCTCCTTTCGGCTCAACATTTTGAAAAGCCTTAACAATTGTTTCTTTACACAGCAAGGGTAAAGATTTGCCCAACCTCCACTCCTGCTGATCTACCTGTCTGCATCTCAAATATTTTACCATCTGCAATATAAAGTGGGAATATGCTTCATTTTCTGGTAATGCATCTGCTGTTTTGTTGTTTACAAAGCACATAGCTACACTATATCCTACTTAGGGACATAAGTCCTCATAGTATTAGAATGCAAATATTTTCACAATAATTTGAGTGCAATACTGTGATGTCTCAGCTAGCTAAATGAATCAGTGACAGGTAAAACATGCAGAGCTGCAGTTTAATGAAAATCCAAATCAACACTTCACTGTACTGAGGGGCATTTTCATTTAGCCTTCCAAAGCTGTGAAAAGTGGCTGCAGCTCAAAGAGACATCAGCTTTGCAAAGTCGCCTTGAACTTGAGGTGGACCATCTCCAGCAATGCCGACTCCACTCGATGCAAACAGGGAGGGTGGCTCCACACTGTCCTCAGTGACCCTCATAGATTTTGTCAACCACACTCAGCTCAAACAGAGCTTGCTCTGCTGGGCCCAAAGCCCAATCCCATATTTTGCCAAAAGGGACAACGTTCTGAACCACCACCTGATCCTGTGACGGGTGTTATGAAGCATCCTACTCTCCCTCTCATCTCCAACCCATAAATTAGGAGTAGTCACAGGGAAGAGGACTTCTGAGAAGTGTTCAAAGTCTGAATCACAGGAAAATCCAAGACTTTCAATGTGTTTTGTGCTGCACTGCCACTCAGAGCTGCTGGGAAAAAAAACATACACAGCAGACTCTGTGAAAATGCCCTTTAAAATTCATGCTAAAAATGAAGCTTTTTGCTGCAACAATTCATGTAGCAAATGGGGCATTTCAGAGAATGTACATCTGGCAGAGCTCTGTTAGCACGCAAGGAACATAAAAACACATCAGTGCCCATCTCAAACAACCTTTTTTTTCAATTTGGCAAAGAGATTCCAAACAATTCTCCAGTAATTGAGGTCACTGACTGTAAAATGCTGTATTGCCCCAAGCTGGAATAACTGCAACTCTTTTCCTGCTGGTGGCAGCTCTGATTTCTAAGTGGAATGAACGGAAGATATATGGAAACTTAAGATAAATAATCATAATAATACAAAAATGAAGTTAAGCACAATCTTCTCCCTGCCCAAGCCCTCCCCATCCAAAACTGAGTCACCCATTTTGTCAGCACCCCTTCTTCACCATCGTTAAAACTTAAAATACTTTTATTTGATAAGAAAAATTATATTATAGTTTTCTTAATAAAAAAACAAAATAGAATGAAAAAAACTTCTCCAGTCAACAGCAAAGCACAAGACAGTAAGGCTCCTCCTCCCACATCACTGCAGGACATGGCATGAGCACATGCACAGGGCTATGCTTAACAGTGCCTAGAGGGAAACACAGCACTTAACATAGAAGGAACCCTCTGGCAGCTGAAATTTTACAATCCCAGACAACACTTATTAGGAGACCACTTTTTCTTGCCTAGCCCACACACACACTTCCTTTCACTATATAAACAAATGCAGCTAGTGTAGCTGCAGGGGAGGAACCGTGGTGCAAGGAGGTACAGAGGAAACAATGACTGTAGCCACTACTGCAAATACACTGGAGCTTCAATACCTTAAAAGCAACTCACCAACTCGGAATGTCAATATTTCTGTCTTTAAAACACAATCAAACCATTCTTTTGTTTATAACACCCAAAAAATTCCACATCCTGTCAAAAATAGCTTATATCATTATGTGTATATACATCTTAGTTCAGCAAAACACTATTTTGGCAATACATTTTTTTTATAGTAAGAGTTCTAGCAAGTCTCCCCTTTCCCTCTTCCACGTGATTGATTTACAGTTGGTATTTTTGCATCTGTTTGGTTTAAGGTGTTCACAAGCTGGTTTTGCTGTTGAAGCTAAGCTGCAAAAATTTCAGGGGCCAATGCTGCTCAAAACAGGATGGCACAACACTTCATCTGCTCTGCTGTGGGTGGATTTACCTCCCTGAAAATAGGGGATGGGGCTTTTGTTTTTGAAGGAACAACAAGAAAAATACAAAATACTCTTTCTTTTGTTCCAGGGAAAACCAGAACTTCAAATGTGCTGTTGCATTCACACTGTGACTTAATTAGCTAGGACAATCAGTCAACAATGCTTTTACCAGATGATGTGGTCAGACACACCAGGTGAATTCTCCCACTGCTGGAGTCAATCACACTGACAATCTCTCCCATAGAGGAGGATTTCTTTTGGATGTAAATTTTTCCAGAGTTTAGGCTGGGTTTCTGTTCATTTTGCTTCATTTGCCAATCTGATTAATGAAACCTGTTTCCCTTAAAATAGATTTGTCTATGTACTGTCAGCACTTAGTGCATGAGGAGGGGTGATGGGAAGCCAGCGCACAGAAGAATACAGTGCCTAATTGGCATAGTTTTTAGATTTTTGTTTTCCTAAAAAAATAGAGATTATATTGCTACAGCTAATGATATAAGTAAGAGAGCAAGAGCTCCATCTTTTTCTTTTTTTTTCTTTTTTTTCCCTCCCATTTTTCCCTCTGGTGTGCAAAAGTAAGCTCCCAAATGTTGTCCGATCAAAATGAGTGGTATCAAAAAATGGAAAAGGTGATTACAAATTCAGTAAGGTAGCATAGACTTTTTTCTTTCTTTTCCGTTTGTTTTTTTTTCCTTTTCTTTTTAAGTGTTCGAAGTGCTAAAATTTGCATGAAAATAGGCACTAATTTCATTGTCATCATCATGATCTGGTAGGAGTTAGTGTCCAAAAGAAGATCAGCCACAAGTAAGGGAGAGGGGAGATAAGGAAAGGGACAGCGTGCTCAGGGATCTGTGGCATTGATTATCGTTTTGTCTGGAGGCGCCCATCCTCTATACCAGCTGCAGTAACCTTCCACCCTCTGGATGCAGGCATAGTGCTTTGCTTGATATCCTGAGTGGCCGAAGTTGGAGAGCATGTCTGTCCAAATACACTCATTCTTGGAGGTGGCAAAGCAGGGCAAATAGTAACAAGGCCTAATCTGCAATTGGAAAGAGAAATCAGGTAAGGCTATATGTAAAACCAACATTATACAAAATGTCTTTTTAACAGAGTCAAGTGATTCAAAATTCCACTCCCCCAAAACTTTGCTTACTAATCCAAAATTCAGCCTCAGTTCCGTAAGCACGTAAGCATGTGCTTAGCTTCACATACACAGCTAATCTGTAGTCAAAAGGGCTTTTCAGGTGCAGAAAAGTTGAGCTTATGTCTATGTTTTTGCAGGCCTGAGGCCATGTGCAAAAATCTTAGTACCAGTGCCAGGCTGTGAGGTTTTAAGCACTCAAAATGTTTACACAGGAAAAAAGCTGGACATACCTTGCCAAGCCTCTGGTACCTGATTTCATTCACCTGCAAATGATTCTGCATGGATTCTGAAAGCCTTCCCCAACTCCAATTAACTCCAACAGGGCATTAAATAGGAATAGACTCTGCATTTTTATTTGACTGTCTCTTCTCTGGTCTCAACACTAAAACTGAGCTTTACATTTTCTCTGTAAAAATTGTTGTCCTCTATTTCTCTTCCTGGCTGTTATCCAGCACCATTGGGTATTACCAAGCCAGGGGAAACAGATGCCACCTAATCAAAGACACACATACCTTGCATCCACAGCCCAGGTGATAACGATGATTCAGTCCTTTACGCTGGGACAGAGTCAGCCGGTCCCATTTCTCATACCAGTTGCACAGGCCAGTGTAAACCTTCCCTTCATACACCCGGCCTTGAAAACAGAGACATGGTCACAAGTTAGCACTTCTCAGCTCAAGCATTTCTCTCGTTTCCCGAGGTTGCTAATGCTCTCAATATGTTTAGCTTCAGTCATTGCTCCGTAAATGCTTTCTTTTTATTAACTGGTTCAAGAATCTCTGGTCAGCAAGATAACAGCACCTCTGCAAGTCAGGAGTGTTGTGCCAGCTGTAGGCACCACCAGCAAAATGCAGGTTAGTAATGCTGTCAAGCTCCTCTTAATAACAGAGAAAGTGAATTGACATCTTCACTAGAAACAAGACTTGGCAACTGCCACACATCTGTCTATCTCCTTGCACCCCCATCTCAGTAGCCTGCATTTCTCCAGCTCATTCCAAAATTTCTGGCACGGTCAAGTAGCAAGGAGTTCCCTGTGACAGACATCCCAGCTCAGGTATAAATTGACAGCCATGGACTGTCATACAATATATTTGTCACAACATGCCTGGGTATAAGATATGTTTTAGGAAAGAGAGGGAAATCTAGAGAGTGAAATGACTCTCAGCATTGAAGAGTACTGAACACCAGAATACTGCTGGCCATCTTAGCACTTGAGAAGTTGCATGCAGAGCTGCCTACACAGTCACCCATGTCCTTAGCACATGCATGTGTAGAGCAGAAGACGTTTTGCTAATGAAGAAGTACACTGTCCTTTACCTGTAATCAGATATTGGTACTTGTTGACCTCCAGCTTGACTCCACAGAGACTCTCAGAGGCTTCTGTGTAGATGTACTGAACGTGTGGCATTATCTGGAAGCCCCTGTACATCTAGAGAAAGAATAAAAAACTTTAAGTCATCTTAAGATGCCAACTTTCACTTAAAATTCTTTACAATCTACATTCCTAGACTGGGGTGGTAAGCAACAAACTTCGTTTTGTACAAGGGTGAATGAATAATGGCACTAGCTGGACTCCTGGAAGTCTCCCTACCAGATCTGCCGGTAAAGCAGAAAAACCACCTGCTAATGAGCCATTGCAATTCCACACAGGGACCACTTTTTCCCATTCGTATTAGTTCCAGTGGCATTGAGTGAGCAAAGCGCCAACACTGCAAGCTCTGCCAACATCCTGAACAACTTTTTCCCTTATATAGCTCATAATTAGGGAGAAATAAAATTAGTTCAAGTTTGGAATCTTTATCCTCCATGTGATTTAAACAATTTCTTCCAAACTAGGGGATTTTTCTTTTAAACAATTACCCTATTTTCCAGTATTGCTGTTGTAAGAGTTTCAAACCTTTGGCGCTTGATCTAAGTCATCAAGCCAGACACCTCCTTCTCAAACACCCAGCATATGCTACTCCTGCTGACCTCAGCAAAGACTTAATGTTTCTCTAACTAAATGAATGCAGACATAGAATTCTACATCACCTTCTAAAATTAGTCCTGTACTGATGGATACCATAAAGAAAATATCATGTATACATTAGTTCCTCCACACTCCTCCTCCTTCTTCATAATCTTTCTTACAGCTCAGTTAAATTGAAATAGGAACCCACAGATATACTGGCAGTTGGATTCAGTCAGAAATTAGCATGTGTCCCCATCTGACCTGACCTTACCACTGCAACTTAGGGAAACTCATGCCTACTTGTTTGTAGCATCATGAAGCCTTTGCATGGCAATGAAACAACTACTCCATGTCTACATTATACTCAATAAAACATATCCTGTTTTTGAAAAATAGAGGATGATTTCCCTGAAAATTTCATCCTTAAAATTTGACTGTCCTTTCAAAGCACTCAGTCTCTCTTTTTTTCCCCTCCAACTCTATGAATGGCCAATATTTAAAAGTTAAAGAAGAAAACAATAGAATTCAGAATTAGAATTTCATAGCATTTCCCAGCCTATCCTTTCCTCTGTGAGCTTTATTGATAGAGAGCACATTCACATTCAGTTTAGCAGTAAATATTAATGTGAGGCAAAAGAGGACCAAATAATCCCAAACAAGCACAGAGCTATAGATCCTTGCTGCTGTGTCACCTAAGCTGTGGTATCCTTCTCCAGGCTGCATTCTATTTCTTGAAGTCCCCTATTATCCCAGGGTATTTGACCATTCCCCCACCTCCTTTAAAAACAACAAACTTTTTTCTTTCTGAGAGAACATCTGTTAATTTAACAGATTTTCTGCGAGGCCTGGATACTTCATATAAATCCATAAAAAACTACTAATAATTCTTCTATGCTGAGAAGCCAAATTATATTTGGGACACGTATGGAATGTCAGCCAGGTGGGTTTTTTTCTCCTTAGAAAAAAATCCCCTAATCAGCATGAACTTGTAACAGTATCACATCTCAGAAACAGCATTGCTGTGTACAGTGAAAAACATGCTAGAGAGTTTAAATTTTCCAGCCTGCCTTCTACATCCAGCAAATACACAAAGAAAGATTTTTTAAAATTAATCATACTGTATCAACACAAGCTTATAGATCATGTTTCATATACAAAATTTCGTCCATAATTGAGCAAAATCTTTCAATTAATATGGAAGAACTGAACTTTACCTAATCTCTACTTTATCCCTGCAATTTTCTTGATATCAGATGACCTACTCAGATTTTCTAATCATGGTCAAGATAGCTGGAGATCTAAGTTCTGGCATAAGCATCCTGTTTGTCCTTGGATTAATTATTTAGCCCTCAGCACACTTTTGTTCCTCATCTGTAGAAGAGCTCTGCCTAGTCTCCCAAGGGTACTGTGAGGAAAGGCACATAGAATGAAGATCACGTGTTCAGACCCCAATCTAGTGGGTGTCACGCCAAGAAGCTATGATAACAGTATCTAAGCAGATAAGACTAGCCAAGATAACAGTTGAGGCTGCCCAGTCCCTTCAGGCAGTGCATTATCTACTCTGCAGAGAGCTGCACACTGTGCATATGCAGTACAAGGGATCTGACACTCATGGTGCTAAGCTCAAAGTCATGTTGGACTAATTAAGTGTCCAAGCAGGCTTTGAGCCCATTCTCCCTCTTACAGAAAGGGCCACAAGCTAGACTAATCATTCCTCTGAGAAGCTGCTCAGGTCCTTCCTACAGGACCCTTACAGTCACAGCTTTACGCATCTTCAGCGCCATCAAGCTCAACGTGACTGCCTATGAAGTAGCTAGCGATGCTGAACTGGGGCTTGGTTTCCAATCCTGGACCTAATTTCCTGTTCACATCACCATCAGGGACACCACTGTCAGGGCTGCTAAAGGAAGCATGCTCAGCCTCTCCAAAGGCACTTAATTCACCCCTCGGTGTCCATCATCGATGCCAGACTGCCACGTTAACTGAAACAATGCTGGGGCAGACAGGGCCTGCCTCACCCTCTGATAACTAAACAAAGTTCACCATGACTTCAGTTCTCAGGGAAGGAAAAAGAAAATTTGGCAAGGGGGAATCCTCTAGAGATTCCCACTGTCAAAACAAATAAAACAATACCTTAAGCATTATTTCTGGATACACAAAATGTCCTAAAAGTGCTGTTAGACCAGTCAGAAGAAAACCAACTATAAAGCTAACCTCTCTCCTAACTGCTACCCTTGGAGTCCTCCTGTCACCACAAATGTGCATTTTTGGAAGCATAATAACAGGGAACAAAGTATTAGCAAGCATCACATGGTGATGTCTGCTAGTGCTGCTTTATTTCCATCTGTGTCAGCCCCCAAATTTCCTCAGAAATGCACATGAAAACACTGTGGTGGTTCCTGTTGCAAGAACAACTTGACCCTGTGAAGCTGTTCACGATGTTCCTCCCTCTATCCCTCCCATGTTAGGTTGCACTAGATATCAAGGGCTTGGAGTCATCCTGCCCAACCTTCAGCTACCTAAAACTTAGGCAATTCACATGAATTAGGCATCCTCTCTAGTCAAATGCCAAGAATATGCACCTCCAGAACAACTCAGCCCATCCTAAAACAGCTGTCTACAACTAGTGGGCCGAACTACAGTATGCTGGTTCCCGTCTCTATCCATTGACAATCAAGAGAGCAGGAAAGACTCAACGCCTCATTTTACTCTGTCTAAAATTAAACTAAATTAATCCTACCCCACTTCTTTCCTCTTGGGACTATCACATTTCCCCTTGTAGACTCATTTTACAGATTAGCACAAACCAAGTAAAGCCTCCTTGCTTCTGGCAGCCTGTGCGAAGTGCTGCCATGGTCAACTAGAACTGTTTGTGCACATGGAGGAGAAATATCTTATCTCCTTGTTTCCTTTGCAGTTTCCTGAAATAGGTTCGGGCCATTCTCAGAATGCGCCGCAGGATCACTGAACACGTAGGGGTCAGATCAGTCCTGTGCAGATTTATGACACGTGATCTTGAAGTATTCTTACAGTATTTGAGAAAGCAGTGGGGGAAGGCAGAGGCTGCTTGAAAAAGCACAAGGCCTTTTCAGACAACAAACCTGAACGCTAGAAAGCCTGGCACTGTTCTGTCACTGTGGGCTGACCCTGTGCTCCAGTCCAGGTCCCAAGCTGGTTTAGTTGTGAAATGCAGCAACAAGTTCAGGAGTGTTAGTGAGATCAACAGTCAATCCCAGCAAACTCCAAGGAGTCCATGAAAGAAATACAGAGATTGTTTGTTGTCCTTTAAGGTTTCTAATGCTTTCCACAGGCAAGTCAGTACACACTGATAGACTAAATGGCTTGTTTATTTTTCATCTGCAGGTGCAGAAGGGTTTATGCAGACTGACATGCTAGTTTTATCTTTAGAGTTGTTCCCATGCAGCTGTGCAGAGCCATAGGCCTCCTTAGTTTTCTTTTCAGCAGGAGGACAGTCAGCTTTCTTTGGGGCAAGCAAGGGAGAGATTTGCTGCATCATTCTGAACTCCCCTACTGTACAGACCTAAATCCCTCCTTATACTGAAGTCTTTAAGCTCAGCAGAAAGACAGCAGGGCTTCAAAGAAGACACTTGGTTTGTTTGTTTGTTTATCAAGAACCATGTCCTCCGGACATTCCAGTTCTACTGAGGACTTTGACTGCTTCATGTTCCCTCATGCCAAAGGTCACAGCTAAATGTCCAATGCAACATCCCACCAGCCCACCATCTAAGCAGCAAACACAGGGGCAGTCTGACCAACACATGATTTCCCCTTCAAAAATTACTCTTGCTTTTGCTGGGACACAAAGCTTCCTAACAAAACACTGTGGAACCGCTCCTGCAAAAAGACCCTGTGCTGCAAAATAACCCAATGAAAACAGCCAGGACAGGCTCAGGCATCTTATTTCGAGATTGACACAATGGTGTCTATAGACAGCAGAGTGGCTGCTGCTCCACTCAACATGCTGGCCTTGCCTGGGCTTACACTCCTCCCCATGCCAGCAGACACATCGAAGCCTTTTCTATTCCTAGCAGAACACTGCTGCAGGCTCCTAGGTCAAAGGAGGAATGCTTAATGCTGCCCCAGAGACCTCTGACACTGCAATTCACTGGCTGACCATGAGGCAGGCTGCATCACTAGATAGGAGAGAGGCCAGTGTTATGGTGGTAAAGGGTAGTGATTCATTTCAGGGACTACCACTATTCTAGATCACTGCTGCACCCTGTTCATGGTCACATATTTAACAGGAAGCACCAAACTGTGGGAACTGAGAGGGACAGAAAGTAGTGGCACTGGACAGACCAGGATGAAATCAGAAAAAGTTGATGAAGCCACTACAGCATGTGGACATTGAGCACTCCTGTGAAGTGGGGTACTCTTGCTGAGCTGAAGAGTGACAGAACTGGACAAGAACAGCACAGAGTGCTGCAAGCCTGATGAGGCCAAGAATAGTCATAAAAAAAAGAAAAAAAAAAAGGAAAAGAAAAAGTGGCAGCATTGTCTCGTTGTTGCCAGCATAACCAGTTTCTTTTTTTACAAATACAAGTTAATCAACAGATATGTATTTCCTTTGGAGTCTTTAAAAGAAATTTTTAAGGTGAAGGAAACCAATAAGCCCAGCATCTCACATCCTCTTATTTGAAGTGCAAGCATTCCACTCTTGTGGAAGAGCCATGCCAGGACCAGATTTGGCTAAGTGCAGGGTTTTGCGACAGCTTATGAAACAGGCTTTGCATCTTCTCCTCCCCACTTTCGTGCTTAGTTATAAACTGCCTTATAAAGAGAGTTACTGTTACAAGGCAGGCAAGTGACTGGTTTTTTCTGAACCTTTACTTTGCCTAATATGTTTCAGATTTCTGCAGTCTCTGCCAAGCTTTTCCATTCCCTTTTTTTTTTTTTCTGAAGATATAAACCAGTCTTATGACTGGAATGGCATTGCCAAAAAAAACAATCTAGGGCTGATTTTTAGCATTACATAACAACAGGGCAGTTTAAGAAGAAATACTAAGTCCAAAGCAGCAGGTTGAGTGCAGTTTGTGCAGCAAAGAATTAGAGCTCTGAAAAAAGGAACTAAAGAAATCAAGTAACTGGTGTAGGAGATCTACCTCTTTTCATCTCTGAGTCAATATTTTACAGCTCTTCTGAGCTGACGATATTTAAAAGCTACAGTGTTTGGTTTAGCTTTATGAAAAGACTTCATTATATGATTTTCATTTGTTCTGTATATGGAAAAAAATGCCATCATCCTAACTGGTGGTCACAAAGAATGCAAGGAAAGAAGAGAAACAAGAACACTCTCCCAAGGCTGGCAGACCCCCTGCTATAATTTCCTTTTTGGATTTAATGAAAGTGCTGCATGGAAAAGCTTGCACTTCCACAGTCTAACACTGTGCATGTTGAACACAGAATAGGACTTCAGTATCTACAGAAGAACATGTGGCACCTTTTACTACCAGAAATTTTACAAATAATGGAAGAATTTAGGTATTCAGCATTGTATGCCAGGAATGATCTCTTCCTGCTCCTTTCCCCTCTTCAGGCAAATTTCTATCAAGTGCTGGTTTTTTTCCATTCTGGCTGGCCAATACAAAAAAAGTTGAGGTGCTGATAAGTATGCAAACTCTGTTTGTTATTACATGTTAATTAAAGTCATTATCATATCTACAAGCTTGTGTGAAATGTCTGCAAACATACCTTCATCTGCTTGACTGTGTATCGCATCGTTCCAAATGGTCCATCTTTCATGAGCTTCTTCCCCACCACTTTAGCTCGGATCACTGTCATAAGGGAGGACAAATGCAACAAATTATAAACAACCTTATACAACATTTACGCTGTACCCTCCACTTCAAAAAAACCAAAAAAAAACCCAAAAAACTACTTAGATAAATTATTCTGCAAAATAAAACAAAACTCCAGGCCAACCTTCCTCTTAATTTATTCTAAATCTCACACATAGCAATGGCATGTAAAATGGGATGCCAAAGCAAGTATTTACTTAGAGGAAATTCAGTTCTGTGCGAAGAATAAGAACAAGCATTATTTATGGTTAAATCTCACTGAAATCTGCAAGGCAGACTATAGCTGGGACCAAGACAGATTAAACTCTTTGCACCAAGCCACTGGGATGAAGTTTATATTTAATGTCTTTAACTCTCAACATACAGGATGATGTTCAGTAAGATACTACTTTTAAATTGTTCTTTCAATTTCAATGCAGCTTCTGTTTCCCAATAACCACAACAATACAGAACAGTGCAAAAAGCTTATCCCAGCTTTTTGAATAATCCAAACAGATTTAAAGGAAGAGATAGGTTTAGTTATACACACCAGTTCCTGGACATTGTTCCATGAGGGTGGTGTCAAATGAAGACAAACTCACTCTGCTCTGATTTATATCCTGTGCTTCAGCCAGACTTGTCAAAGAAATTTTAAACTAGCTAAGACAGTCCTGCTGGCTTTGATTCAAAGGGCCAACAAAACCTTCATTCATTGAGTATAAAACCTAAATATTTTTACTTTTCTTAAACTTCTATTACCCAATGTCAGTAAAAGCCAGAACGATTTTATTGACTCTTCTATTTAACAAGTTGTTCAGACTTTAATTTACTCTCATCTTCAAATATATTTTAAGAACTAGCTTCCTCCATTTATTGTCCCCAACCACCACAACCACCAGCGAAGCTACAGAAACCAGACTGTCTAAGGGTCAATGAGAAAGAACACAATTCCTTTAATTTCTTTGTGAATTCCAGGATAGTTCACTAATGCTGGAATCTATAGCAAGGAGTGCCAAATGTCTTATCTTCATCTATTGCATATGTGATACACCAAAACTGAAAAACTTGGTGTTTGTCAACATGTCTGAAAGCAACGAAGAAATCTTATTGACAATGATAAGAAATATACTAAAAGGCAGTATTACAAAATGCTAGTTTCCAAACCACAACACAGTTAGCATGTAAGATGACAAGCACATTCTCAATTGTTGACGAAATACCTAAAACCCCATTTTCTTCATATACTTCACTGCTAGCTTGGCAGTCCTTTAACTTCTAGTTAGAGTAGCATAGCCACTAGAGACAGAAACTTTGATTTATGGACTTATCAAGTGCTTCATCAAAGGACCAAAGATTCAAAATGCACATCTACACTAGCATGTTACAGCATCCCAATTTCAACTAATGATACCCTTGCAAGTATATGGAAGGGTCTGTATTTTCATATTATTGTTCCCCAGTAAAGCTGGAGAAGAACAACAACCATCCAAGCAAATTCACCTAGAAAAGCCATGACAAACTTTAGTGTGGGCTGTCACTTCAGGCCTTTTATAAATGGGTCAAGCCCTCTGTTTCTCCGAGAAGTCGCCTTTATCACCACAACGGTAACTTTTCTAGTTAAGTTCTTTTCTTTACTGAAAAGCTAGAAATAAACAAAGAACCCAAGTTGCCTCATTTTTTCCATATTGAAGGAAAAGTCAAGCTGATAGCCAAGGAGCAGAGGATACTCTAACTTAAGTCTATGCCCCGTATTCTGTGAGGCTAAATTTCCACCCCCTGAGGATTAGATGCGTCTGAGTAACTGGAGAGAAATGCTGGATGGACAACACTGCTCAGAAGTTGCTCTTGCACATGTAGCTTCAACACCCTAAGCGTCCACACATGAGAGCCACTTGTAAATCTGCCCAGAACAGAGCTCCGAGCTGCACATCTGCAGCCACACGTTTCCAAGTTCCCATCTTTGCTCCTTCAAACCACCACTCCCCAGTTGTACGGCTAGACCACTCTGCAGTCCTGGTCAGAAAATAAAGAACAGTGCTCCTAACTGAGCAGGGGCCATGCATACTTGCCAAAGGAACTTTTCACGCTCTGCAAACTATCAGAAATTTACAGTATTCCTGTTGCAAATTCAGTCCATGTTATGTTTAGTGTTTACTTCTGCGGACTCCTGCTACTTGAGCAGAATGAGGCAAAAGGTATTGTCACTGCTCTCCTGAACTCCTCCCTTCTCCTTGAAGCTCTATTACAGTACTACTATTACTGATGGGAAACTTTATCCCACACAAGTGGTCACCAAAATAGCTGCATATTTTTAAACCACAATTCCTTTGAAGTACTGCCTATGAAAATACTCCAAGATGAATGTTTCTCAGTACCTTGGGGTTTCAGGTCAAGTCACTTTGTGGGACTGGAGCAGTTGGCAAGGTCTCATGAGTGATTTGTAATTATTTATGAAAAGTTAAATTAGATAGGGATATAAATCTTGATAAGATAAGCATGGTATTAATGGTATCATGGTAAGCCATGATACAAAGAGGAGAAAACATACGCACTGCTTCTCAACCTTTGACATAATTTAAAAAAAGAGAGAGAAAACAGAGAAAGAAAACCAAGTATTTAGTCAATATTTTAAAAAAATACTGTTATGAAAATAATAAACTGCTATGTTTGAGGATTCAAGAAATGCACCTAAAAATTTATCACAAATTATTAATGTACTTATATATTTCCCTTGCCTTTTTTTGGGTTTTGTAAAGGCAAACAAATCAGAATGGGTATAGGAGAAAAAGGACCTATATGACCTTTTATTTGCCCATATGCACACAGATCTAACTCAAGTACTCTTTAACTTATCACTTACTCTGTGGTCATTTTCTCAAAGATTCATAGGAAGAATAAGCCTGAAGGTAAGATATGAAGCAGAAGAGGACATTGACTTTACAGTTGAGATAGCAGAAGGCATTCTTTTCATAAGTCAAGGAGTAGATAAACAAGCAATACCTGATGTAAAGGAAGTGGATATGCTAGCTTAAGACAAGCATTCGCCAAGCTGTGGGAAACAACACAGTGGAAAGACTTGTAGCTACCAAGTAATTTCATCCAGGTACACACTAGCTACTATTAGAAAAAGGTTCTTCACCCAGAGGGTGGTCAGGCACTGGAACAGGCTCCCCAGGGAAGTGGTCACAGCACCAAGCTTGATAAGAGTTCAAGAAGCATTGGGATGATACTCTCAGGCACATGGTGTGACTCTTGGGCATGGTCCTGTGCAGGGCAAAGGGTTGGATTCCATGATCTTTGTGGGTCCCTTACAAATCAGCATATTCTGTGATTCTGTAGTACCTAAAGTGGTAGCTCTTTTTCCCAACTGAAAAGCAAAGGCATCAACTGCCCTGGTCCAATCCAGCCTGTGTTTTTTATTGGGGCCAGCCACTAGATGGTGACCCTGTCCCAAATCTCACCTTCCTCTGACAAGCGGGCAGCAGTACAGGCACAGGCTAACACCACAAATCCCAGTTGCTTGCTCAATTGCACCATGAGAACCAGATGCTTTCACACAAGTGGGCTGGTCATCATCCAATAACAGCATTTTCAGTGAAGGCACACCCTTTAGAGACCAGGATTTGCTCCAAAACCATTTCCCTTGTGACCAATTATTGTGAACGGTTCAGGAGAGTAACAACTGCTACACTTCTCATTATTCTTTCAAGGATTTATTTTATTGGTGTGCACTATGAGTATTTTAAAGTGAGAGCTTTGGCTGAGATGCATGCTCACTGCATTGAAGGGAAGGATGTGGAAGACTCATGTTGTTTACTAATGGAGAGACAGGAGACAAGTTATTCTCCCATTGCATTCTCTGACATCCAAATAGTGGCAAAACAAAATATATGGGGAGCAGCAACAAGACTGGGAGGCTGAAGAAAAGCTCCTTCTATCCAGAGGCCACTGTCTACACCAGAAAGTGGACAACACTTAGAAATGCTGCTTTAACACCAGACACAGGACATGCCAAAGAGGATGGCTGCCATTTTATTCATCCAAGGACTATACAAGGGCTCACTTCCAAGCGCAATTTACTGAGACCTTTTCACCACCTTTACTAGCAGCTCCCTCATTCAGTCTGCCTCACAAAAACTCCTTACTGTGCTGGTACATGCTGGAGGGCTCACATCATGCAGGACTAAGGCAGCTGGTATGTTTTAGACTCCTGAGTATACCTAGCACACTGCTGAGATATTAGTGGCATTTATGAGGGTGTCTCCTAATGTGGCCAAGGCAGGATTCTTTTACCCACAGAGTTTCTAGCGCTGGTGTTGATGGTGCTTCTAAGATAGAATTGCTGTCTACCTTGCTCACTCATCTCACAAGATGCATTCCTTTTCCCATTCCCCTGGCTGATCTGTTAGCAATTACTACCAACAGTCTTGGCTGCCCTTAATACAGAGGACCATAACAAGAAGTGGACTGTGTCCTTTGGGCTGGAAGTATGGCCCAATCACATGAAGCCTCTTGAGAGGCTCTCTTAAATTGCCTGGTGGCTGTAGGCTTCTATGAGCAGCAAGTAGCTGGTGCCTGCTCTAGTAGGGGGACAAGAAAGCAGGCCTTCACCCATTCCTCCACTTCCACAGCAATGCAGAATGGAGAGGGAAATACTGATGACAGCAGGGGATTCATGAAGAGGGGAAAAAAACAGAAGCCTCCAGTCTATTTGATGATTTGTTTGTACTGAAAGTCACCTCTTCCTCCATAACCAAAATAGAATTCTTTTACGAATCAGAGTACTGAATTTGAAGGCTTCTTCCAAAGCACAGGAAGGTTGAAAAAATACAATAGTTTCTCTTGCCTCACTCCATCACAGCCTTCAGCCAAAGCCACAAGGGCAAACCTCTTTCGCTTTGTCTCAGAAGAAGTCAAATCCAGCTGTAATGGTACACAGCATCACCAGAGAACTTCATCAAGAAAGCAAAACCAGGTAGTGAAGTTAAGAGGCTCAC